GCTACGTAGTTGCCGGCCAAGAGTCGTCACTGTGTGTCAGCGACACGAGGCCTTGGGCACACGCAAAGTCGCTGCCAGTGGTCAGCCCGTTCCTCACTGGCTTGCAAGGCTCGCAAATGAAGGCTTCGCAACTTAATATGTTCCTAGCTGCACATCCCCCACCTGACACTCAAGATCTGCCAGATTGAAAGGGCAGCTGCTTTTATTTGAAGTCTGGACTTCCCTTGCTAGCATTCAGGTGGGCATTATTTCAGCCTGCACCCACCTGCTCCCCTGCGAGACAAGCAAGGAGAACCAACCACTTTGAAGGGTTCGGCGCCGGCACTTTGTGCCGGAACATTCACCGGTTTCCGAAGAACGCTGGTGAAGCTTGAGAAACCCAGTAACATACAGTTCAAGGCCCTACTTACTTCCGCGTTCGCTTCCGCTCGGTGTGAGAGAGAGTCGTACGCGCGAGAGAACGATCACATGTGCTCGTTCAGGTACCAGCTGTTTTCGGCTCCCCCCGAATTGAAGAGAACGGTTAGTGCCAAGCAAGTGCATGCTAGAAGGGAAGAGGCGCCGCCTCCGTGGAATGTTGGAGCCTTGACTAGAGTCAACTCGCAACCGGAGTCATTATACGGCCTGCATCCTTTAAGGGAAGCCCCTTGAACTGTCATGTGCTGGAGGTCTAGGAACCCCCATCTCGCAGCTGTGGCTCTGGTCCGTGTGGAACCAGCCTCCTCGAGTGCGAGACCTAGGCCAAAGACTCAGTCCGCGGACCGTCGGATGGTCAATCCACTGAGTACGCTCACAAATCCCTGCTTGAATATAATTCCTGCACCATGGCCTGCGCAAATAACGAATCCCGGGCCTTCTTTACTGTGACCCCGGAACAGCGCCAACTGTCGCGGGGACCCTCTATTTCAGGCAACGGGGGTCGTGAGGGAGAACCAGCCTTCAACAGTTTCTTCCGGCCAACCCCCAAAAGAACAGTTTGACGTGGAAAAAGACCCCGAGACAGTCATAGTATTGAACCAGATCAGAAACTCCCGTGGGCACCCTGTTTCTGCGACTGTTTGGACTAGAGAGTTTTATCTTACATGTGATGGTTTGCGGACGGCTTGCAAAATTGAATCACTTCGACTCTGAGCTGGGAAGGACTGAGAAAAAACGCCCTTTAAATGCAAAAGGCAAATGTATTTGTTTCTTGTTTTTGCCTGGAGTTTCTCTCGGAAAACAACTTGCTATGTTTGAAGACCCCAAAACTATCTTGAATTAGGAAACAAAACAACTTCTACAATACACGCCCCACTTACAAACTCATCCAACTGACCTGCAATTCTAGTGCATGTCATTTTGGATAGTGGGGAAAACACGTTTTCTAAAAGGCTTAGTTAGCCAACATTGAACTACCAGAAGCAACCGCAAAGTCAACCAACACATGCCAAACCAACGAGCACTCTACCAATGCCCGGGCAAACTGGTAGGGGTTGTGCCATCGCACCACGAGTGACTCGTCAGCTCTCCTAAGACCCTAGTGGATTTCCGAGCATCCCAAGCCCACGAACCCCAAAGCTTGCACCTATGATTTGACATGCTTACCTTTAGGTGTATGGACACACACACACACAAAAGCAGCAAAAGGGGCCGGAACACAGGAGCCCCTGTAGACACACACGGAGCCCCTTCTGGTCCACTTGTTCAAAACAGCAAACTCGCCACAAAATCAAACCTGCGAACTATATCCAGCCAGTTTTACCCACTTAGTTCATCAACGATTTGTTTACTGTCGGTTTCACTGTTCAGATCCACCGCAACCTCAGGAAAAAAAAAGGCGGCGCGACTCGGCTCCAAGTTCGTCGCTGCACCTGGCATCTGGCCGGAAGGCGCAGCAGCCGTCGAAGCTCGCCAGGAGATCTGCGGGCTCCACTTGCCAGAGGCTGGCAAAGGCTTCCTGACCCGCGCGTGTATTCCTTTGGGATGTTGGATAGTGAGAACGGACAAAATGTGCTTGCAAACAAGGTTTCCTCATGCTTGAACATGGACCCTCGCGGGGGGGGGGGGGGGGTCTGGAAGACCATGTTCCTTTAAAATGGACCCCCTGCTGGGCTCCAGGTGAATTAGCAGACCGGAGGGTAAGCAGTTGACAAACATTGAGGCTGCCTTCCATGGATGCGGAAGTGTTTTGTTTGGGGGGATGTTGTTCTACAGATGTGTGCTGTTGGATGGTGAGCTTGAACCTGAGTCATTTCCACAAAATGAAAAACGAGAAGAAGTTGGCAACAAAGGTGCTGTGTGATCTCAATACGGTTCAAAAGTTCAAGGTCAAACCAAAGACCAGCCAAGCGGCCAGAACTCTCTGCCGCGTGCGGACGTACCACATGAACTCCTGAGTCTATCAGAGTTTCTGGCAAAAAGAAAGCAAACTTCAAGGCATGTCTCATTTCTCAATTGCTCCTTCCTGTCCGATTGGCTTCCCCGGAAACAACCCCAAGCATCCGCCAACATTAGCCTCAACAAAACATAGCCCCGCCCAAGGTCCGTCAACATTGACGCCCCAGTGTACGCACTGAACATTTCGCAGCCAAGTGCTTTCATGAGCCATCCGCGCTTGAGCAAGGAAACATCTTCCCACCTCCGTTTCAGCTTCCACATTTTTTGGAGGGAGGGCAAGATGATCACCTTTTCTTCTTGCTGAATGCATCTGAGGCTGGCGCGGACTGGCCCACGCCACCGCTGTTGATAAGGCCGTTGTAGCATTGGCCAGGCCAATTCGGGCTTTGCCACGACAAGGGATCTTCGCGACACACTTTGCCTCAACCGGGACGGTTGAGGCAAAGGGGAGGTGACGTGAAGGCCTGCTCCATATCGAAAAAGGAGGCCTGGTTGTTTCACCCAAGCACACGTAAAGTTACGTAGCCAATGCTGTGTCCGTGTGTTAGGTGTTCTCTTGGAAACACCCAAGAGAGATGACGATCATCAACTAACATTCTGGCCTCAGCCCTCTGCACCGTGAGAAACTCCCCGAAGGAAAGGGGTCTTCCAAAGCCTTGTTGCTGCTATCCATCCCGTGGCTTTCCCGTCACATGGACGCACCGAATGGCGAGCCTTGCGTGGAGAGGCCCATGTACTTCCAAAAGAGGTCAGTGGCGTGCTCCACCTCTTCCGGGCCAAGGGCCTCGCGGAAGACCACCTCGCACCAGTGTCTTTCTTGAGGCGGCTATTCTCGGGTCAGCTTCAAGGGAAACGAAACGAAAACCACAACTTTGACACCCTCGACTTGCCCGAGCTGGGTCCTAAACTAGTGCTTCAAGGCTCCAAAAGGTGGGTCTAGCGTCTGGGCACAACAATTCTGCAAGGTGCAGGGTGGACGAGGAAGACCTCTTTTCTTTTTGATTCTGCTTATGCTAGGTGGGTTTGAAAATTGCTGGGCAAACATGTGGAGGAATGCCGCTGTTTGTCAAGGGGAGCTCGGCTGGACTTTGGGGGCTTAGGAGAGGATTGTGCTTGAGGTAGCCCGGGCTCAGGCGATCCTGCAGCAAGGCTCCCGCTCACTCACGGCTGAAATTCTGAGAGCCCAGACTTCACTTGTTCAAGGGCCAAGCAGCATAGCCTTCGTCCCGCAGGTGCTTCAGCCCATCTGGATCGTCCACCGCGAAGCGATGCGACCTCTTGCGACAGCTCCCAGGTCCTACTTGCATGCCCCAAACCTGTAAATGTTAGAGTCATCCCAGTACCTGAATTGAGCGATACAAACGTAAAGGAGACGGGCCTACATCATGGCATGGCGAGCTTGCTTTGCTTGGCCCATGAGCTCGCCTCAAAATAGGCAGGCACAATCCTGGAAATGGGGGGGACAGTTAAAATGTCTTGAAGCATCCCAAAAAAAAATTGTCGCACCAAAAAAGACTGGAATTGCGACAGCAATGGAGTGCTGCATGGGAAACGTGTTGTGTGAAACAATAATCGCATATTAGGTCTCATGTTGCTTTTGTAGGAGGGTACCCTTCCGGTTGCTCTTCCCTTACCAGATTCAGCCCAAAACACAATGTGTCACAAGCCCATCGATCACAACTGAGCCGAGCCACATGTTCGTGGCCAGGGCTTTTCGGGTGTTTGTTCAAAGGAATTCCTGTTCCTACTGGCTCAACCGATGTGCAACTAACTGGCCGCGTCGAACTTGCGGGTTGGTTATAGGTGGAACAAGCAGCCCCCAAACAGAAAATCCAAAAAGGGAAGTCTTTGTTCTGCTTGGCTGGAGACGGCCAAGGGTCCTGCAATTGTCCCAAGAAGGCTATAACATGAGTCCATGTCCCGACACACACACACATACATCTCTATACATGTTGTGGAGAAACTTCACCTACATAGAGCTTTCACATAATAAGACTGTTCAACTGTTTGGCATGCATGGGCGCTTGCATATACAAACTTGGAAACTGTTGACCCACCCCTCTGCAAAAAGTTTGACTTGTTGTGGGGTCAATGGAAAACAATTGAATTTTGCATAAGTTAAACTGCAAAGATCCAATCTAGCAATCAAGCAAAACACGCTCACGTGTTGTTCCACAACTTGCGTCGCCACTGTTCTACGAGGAGCTAAGGTTGCGTCTCCTTCGCCTTTTCCCGCGCCTGTGGTCTTTCAGCCGCACGGGTGGCGCGTAGATGCGGTGCCAGGACTCCTGCTGCAACTTCTGAGCGCAAACAGCGCATCCAAAGTATTTAGAGTAGCTCAGTTAAGTCACAATCAAAACCCGGCATTCAAAATGGTCTACCCAGAACCATATAAAGAATTACCAGGCGGCCGCACCCATTTATAACTGGGGTTGTCCCTTACTAGCCTTCACCTACACGGGTTTTGATTGTGGCTCAGTTGGAGCTTGCTTCCGAGCTGAAAACTAGTTCGGACGCAGCAGCCTGAAAAAAACGTAAGTCCCCCCCCCCCCCGAGAAAAAAAAAGACCAACGCTCAAAACAACGGCCTGCCGCACCTCTTTCTCCTCGCTGGCCTTCTCACTCGCCACAGCGCTTCGACGCCGCCCGGCGCGGCTCTTGGGGAAGCGCCGGGCCAAAGAAACGGCCAGCGCAAAGCTGGCCCGGCCTTGCGAGAGGCGGAGGCGGCGCCCATGAGGCCCGACAAAGTTGAAAGTCGCATATGCGTATGACGAGTTGGTCATGAATACCACTCGCTCGGAAAGGGAAAGGTCAAAGGAGCTCATCAGAACCGTACCCTTCCTCCTCCCAAGTACCCTTCCCAACGCTCGAGCTTGACGGAAACGCAACTTGCCTGCCAGGCGCCCATGGGACCACATGTTTAGTGCTTTGAAAGCAGAATGGCTGTACTGGTGGGGGATCCACTGGGATTGTCCAAGCTGGACACAGCCAAGTCAACAATCTGGACGAAAGGAAACCCCAGAACCTGATCATTCAGGTCGCGGCGCAAACCAAACACCAATCCACAAGCGTCCAAATCACCGGGCGAATCCATCGCCTTGTGCCAACGCTTTCCGTAGCCGCCGCGGTGGACTTCCAGTGCAGCACGCGCGTGGATCCCGTGGCATGGAGATGCGGGGCAAAGTTGCCAGGCGCATGGGACGAAAGTGGCCAAGACGCAGCTGGCTTCATCTGCTAAGGCTTCAGTTGATTTGATCTGCAGCTGCAGGGCCACTTAGACCAGTCATGATTTCCCCTCAAAATTGAGAAGAAGCAACACATCGCCTTGAGCTATTGGAAGCAGGCTGTATCAGGGTCCAAAGGAAGGGCTAGCAACCAGCTGCTGAAAAAAGAACAGCTGTGCAGAGTGTGTTTCGGCCATATCTACATATATATATATATAGATATGTAGTATCCAACCTTTTGCTGCTTAGTGGCAACCATCATTCCCCAACACGTCCAAAGATCTGAGCCAAGCGGGTGGCTCTTCATTTTCTGGGGACTGCCTTGTTAGCCGCACCTCCCGAGCCGAAAGGTGCGGCAAGTGACATCCAAAGCGGGAACTGCCCAAAGGGCAACTTGATTGGTGAGCCGGTTTTCCCAAAGCTCAGTACGATATGTGCAGAAGGCATCCGAACAAACTCTAGTTTGCCATATGCGTAGAATGCAGAAGGCGTCCGAACACACTCTCAAAATTGGGATCAAAGTCAGATGCTCCCATTGCTTTCCATCCAGTAGCCCCTGTTTCGTGTCCCTGCCTGCCTGGTGGTCCTTGTTTTCTGGCGCATGCGGAGCAGTGACTCGTTTGGGTGCTAAGACCTTCAACTGCTCCACGTCGGGTCTCCCAACCCTTCTACAAACAAAAAGCCTTATGATCACATAACCGGTTGTTGGGCGGTTGCAAAAGCCTTCACTTGCAGCGAATCTGAGCGCCAAGTTCCAGCAACCACACATGCAGCATAACACGACACAAATGCTGGCCAACCAACACAGCCTGCGCTATTCTCACAAACAGGCTACGAGAAATCTGCAGGAAGTCAGCATTCTGATCATGCGCGTGTTCCCTCGACAAGTCAGAACGCCTCTAGCAATTCGAGAAGGTATCCTTAAAGTCAAACAATGATGCTTCTCCAGCGCGATGCAAGTGGGTTGTGCAGACCACCAACTACATGATCTTGACGAGGGGGATGCATGGAGGTCAACAGAGCTCATTGTGAAGGCCGCTGGCTCTGACAAGGAGCTCCTGCTGCGAAATCAAACGACGGAACCCAAACAACGCCCCATCGGGGCTCCTTTTGAGGAATTCGACCTGGACAGACGTGCCGCTGCTGTGCGCACGTTGCGAATGCGTGAGTCTGAGGATTCCACCCACCTCAGGAGAAATCCACAAGTGAGGCAGGCAGATCCGTCTATCCACACCTTGCGCTCCCGTCCATTGCTTTCTGATGGCACGCATGTAAAGGCATTCAGGCAGCATTGGCCCTACCCTCCCGAGAACAGACATGGTTTGGTGCACAAAACCTGCTTGAAAAACGCGGTCCGGTGCACCTCCATGTTGTTTTGGGGGCTGCTACAAGCACACGCACCAGAAAACCTTCCATGCCACTTCGAATGTGTATATATGCATAAAAATATGTGCATATAGGTATATATGAATATGTGTATACATGATAGATGTATGACAGCGCCATGCCATGCCCGCTTCAAAGGTGGCTTGCACCTGGCTTGAACCCTTTGAACGGGTCAGCTGAAACAGGCGCACCTCAGTTTCAGGAGGCCAAGTTGTCTCAACCCTCTGGCGCCGTCATGCCGATGGAGCAAAGGCTCGCCGCTGCTTTTGCCAAAGCCTGGGGCAAAAGGGCGGGAACGCCTCTTGGTGTGCAGCTTGACTCAGCCTGTTTCCTCACGAAGCGGCGAGAAAATTTGTGAGGGAAAGTAGGTCCGTACTCTTGCTTTTGTAGCGCGCGATGTACCCATGTTCGACCAGCTCGAAACATGCACTTTGTCTGCCACACCCTAGGAGAGGGAAAACCCCGAAATCTGAGCGGCATCTTTTCATCGGGGGTCACTCACCCCGCAGGTGCAACCCCAGGGTGTGATGGAACTGTTAAAAACGCGGTCGACTAGGGTGAAGTGGGGACTTGGTTTGGTGCATTTCTGGCAGATACATATGCCAAGAAAAACAAAACAGTCCATCCACTTTTGGTTTCCCTGAGTGAAAGCTCACGAAGCCAAACCACAACGACTTAGACATGGTATGGGATAACACCAGTTTACCAGCCGAAACAACCCTAGCCGATCAGCAAAAGAGCAACCAGGCTCTAAGACAGACCCTTGAAGTCCCGTCTTCCAGTTGAGGGATCTTCTGGTGGGTTTCCGTATTCAAGTGGGTAGAGGGTGCGTGTCTTTGTGGCGTTGAATGCTTTGCGGAGAAACAAAAACAACATCAAGTTTTCACATCCGCTAACTTCCCCGTTCCTAGGAATCATTTCTGATTGTTCCAACCAGAAAGCCACCACAATCATGGGGGACCTACCGTAGCCCATGGCAACAAAACAAATCAAACCGACCCCCGCCCCCCCGCCATCTAACGCGCATTCGGCCACGGCGCTGGGGCTTGTAGAACCGCACCGCGGCGAAGGAGTAGCCGCGGCGCAGGAACCAGGCGAAGTAGAGCACCGAGACCAGGTGGTGGCAGCAAAAGGCCTCGAGAACCGAGCTGCGAAGGTGGAAAAACCCACGGGGTTTCGACACGCGCGGCATGATTTATTGCAATGGGCTGCCTGGGAGAGGCAGAGAACCAACCATGCCCTGGTTGCTTTTGAAAGGAAATCAAGTGGCTTAAACATGCGTCCCAAATTCAATCCAGAAGATGTTGATTGTCTCCTCCCGCATTTCAGTGACGCATTTCCCTCGGCTTTGAAGGGTGGGTCCCTTTCAGGCGTAGGGTCACACCATCCAAGATCGTTCAACCACTAGCCCCAGACAAGCTTGTGTGTCCTTTCTGCTCCGTATATCTAAGGCAGTCTTGTCTTCCTGCTACGCTGCCTACAAAGCCAGCATCCAGCTTCGAAAAGAATATAAGTCAACTTTGACCCAGTGAGTTATCACTGATAGATGTCTCCAGCTCTCCAGCTGATGAGTCCTCTGCACAAAGACTTTCAGATCCTACCGTGCTTCCCATTCCCACCCCAATCAGCTCGAGCACCGCCGACTGCCCTAGAGGTCAAACAATGGATGCAGACAAGGAACAGTCGATCCTTCAGCAAATGCTAGTCGTTCAAAACCCGAAAATGCCCGACTCGTTTTGCCCCAGGCGACCTCGGCATAAGTTTGGCAGGGATATCTGCTGCCAGCAGGGTCGGCCATGCATGCAAATGATCGTGCACCAACTTCCCTAGTGGAAGAAATTGCACACTATACAAGGGCAGGAACAGAAGGAACAGAGGTAAAATGGACACCCTTCTGTTGGTTCATCCGAAGCAGACCCGCCTGGACCCCAACAAGGGGAAAATAACAGTGGCACGAGGCAAACGCTTTTGACCGGCGACTCTCGGCTGTCTTTCCAACTTGACGGTGTTGAAAAGGGAGGCCTTCGAGCTTCCCCGTGTTCCCCCTTGGGGAAACGGGTTCAAGTGGCCGGATTGAGCTTGGATTGCATCGCGATGGGGAAATGGATCCTCCCTGTTGGCCTGCACCGTGGCATATATCCGCGAAAAAAAGGATCTCGCCCTTCGAACTGCTCCAACGGACCAGAGATTGGGAGCGTCCCTTGAAATCGAGACCAACCATGCACTTGCTGCACTTGCATGCCCACAGCTATAGAAAAAGGGAACATTTTCATTTTCTTGTTGGTCTTGACCATAGGCAAAGGACCCCCCAAGCAAATGAGACACATGGGGCCGCTGAAGAACTGGGCAGCTTCAGGGGGCAATGTGACTTTTCACATCCCACCCACAAATTCCCAAACATCTCCGCAGTCACGGGAAACCGATCTAGATCACCATGACACTGCAACGCATCGTTGTCAGAACAAGGGAACATTGCGTTGGCAGGCGTTAGCTAATCCCAGCGAAGCTTTGACAGCCTGTGGGAGTATTAAAGGAAAGGCACAAAAGGGCGCGGACAGTGCACCTTTTGAGTCAAGCAGCAGCCTGGTTGAACGGGTCTGCCTCAAATGCGGCAGGTGTCAATCTCTGTCTGCCTCCGGGTCAAGTTGGTTGAGGGGGAGTTCGTTCATTGTTTGCTTCACGAGGCATTGCAGCAACAAGCAACCCCAACAGTGGTGTGCCAAGCTCAGCCCAGGATGTGTTGTGGCACCACGACATCTCCAATGTGGGATACGAAAAAACATGTCCCGACTCCAAGCTGGCCACACAAAATCCAGTTAGCCTAGCGCATGCTTTGAGCTTGCATCGAACCGACAAATATGTACATATACATTTATAGAGAGAGAGCGCATGGGGCTTCGGAACCACGGCTGTGGCCGGGGAAAGAGGGCACCGATTTGTGCTCATCATTTGCTGCGGTGGCTCCATGCATCCAAAACATTGCCCGTGACCGTGAGACGCAGCCTCAAATTGTTGCTATGGATCCTGTCTATGTCTGTAGTGTGTGTGCGTGGGTGTGCGTGTGCGTATGCGTGTGCGTGCGCGTGGGCGTGTGCGTGTGCGCGTGCGTGCGCGTGTGCGTGTG